CAGACATTCAGACTATGTTAGAGATTTTTTATGGTGAGATGTCATTGTTGTTTTTCTTCAGACGACTCTCTCTGTCTCTGTGTCTATGATTAGATGCCATTTAAGTTATTTTAACTTATTATGCAAGAATATTACTGCATCTTATGGTTATAGTATATAAAAATACTTCAAACTTTGGTGTTTGCGTTGTATTAAATGTTAATATTACATTAAACATTTTAATGTCGTTAATCAAAAATTATTTCTAAATTGTGTATGCTGACACAAAGTACAAATGAATAATATCATACTAGCAAAGGTTTAATTTCCATTTACTTTCATGCATTTTTTTTTGTTAAACATTTATTTTCATGCAAAGGAATATATTTCCTGGCTTGTCGCAGACGTGCTAACCATCATCAAATTGACACTTTTCTTTAATTTCGTATTTATCTGATTCTTTTTTTTTTTTTATAATATCAAATTAACAAACTTTGTCTTTTGCATTTTACTTTTGAAGGGAAGAATTATGGTCTTATAGTTTTTAAATAACTTTCTTATAAGAAAAGAATCATTTAAAAAATAAAAAAAAACTATTGAAAAAGTAGAGAAAAATAAACCACAGATCAATTCTATTATAAAATGTTTTGTTTAGGAAGTTCTTTTTATATGTAAAAAGGTTCTGCTTATAAATTATAACACTTTCTAGTGTACTTGCATATTCGAAGGAACTTAAGAAAATTAAAAAAATTAGTCATTTTCTCTTCTTCTTTGTTTTTTAATCTCGAAAACTTTATTTATTAACATGTCAACGTAGGCGCGACCTTAGTTAGGTCAAGCCTTTATCTGATACTTAAAATTATTGGGGTTTTAAAATGTAATTGACATTTTAGGAATTTTTCTTCATAACCAACATCTTAGGGTTGCAAAAACAATCTAAAATGCCATTAATATCTTTTAAACTGATGGAAAAAAAAAACTTAAACAGAAAGAAACTCTTTTTCTTTGTGGAAGATGAAGTTAAAAGAGTATATTTTATCGTCCATTATTCTCAATATATATTACAAATTTTGATTTTATCGTCCATTATTCTCAATATATATATATATTACAAATTTTGATCGAAAAACATTCGAAATATGTGAAATAAAACAGATAAATCGAGGAGTAAAGGTAATAAACAATCTTAGAAGTTTCTTAAAAAAAAAAAAAAACAATCTTAGAAGTAGGTGATGGTGATGTGTACATGAAGTTGTGGTTCCTCGGTACAAACTCACGACTTACACGAGCCGTTGACCAAAGAGCGTGTGCGTTTTAATCTCTTTCATGTTTTTGTTACTTTATTTACTCATCACATGTGTGTGAACATTTTACATTGAGTGGGATCTTCTTATTTTACATTGAAAAACGTTAATTTTCAACTAGAAAGAAAAATAATACAAAGAAATAAAAAATGTACTTCTTAATTTGTTTGGTCTAAGGGGGAAAAAAAGCTGCTAAAACATATTTAGAATTGAAAATCTTAAGAGTTTTGATGCAGAGACTATTAGATTTCAAAGGTATCAAAAAGTTTTGTATGATACATGCTATCATGATAGATGGTTTGATGCAGTTTAAGTAAGGTTACTAAAAGCCATGTGATAGTATATTGGTATTAGACTTATGGTTAAAAAGTTAATTCGCGATAGTGTTAGATTTGATTTTTTTGTATGCAATTTTTGCGCGTGAACCGCTTGATCACTTGAACTTTGGTTTTGAGTGTTATATCTATGGTGGGGTTTGTGAGAACCTCATTTATCATGGGGTTTGATCACTCTTAAATTCGTCGGATGTTTGGGTAAAATCCGGATGTATTCGAATGGTGTTACGTCGATATCAATAGTAATAATAACTGATAACCCCTAGCCAACATTAATTAAGATCAATAATACAAAATATAAAATAATAAGCTGGAATTAAAATAAAACTATAGATTACAGGTTATGGATCGAGTTCTATATTTTCAAATTTCAATGTATATGATGGTTTTTTTTTTTTTGGATAAAAGCGAAACTACAAACAATGGTACAGTACAACTTTTTATTGTTTTCAGTTGATATACGGATCTGAATGGTAAATAAAAACTATAGAAATATGGATAGATGGGTAAAATAACTTATAACAATACTTTATAGAAATCTGCCTGTACCAACGCTCCGATTTCCTTGAAGACCTCCCTCACCGATGGAAGAAGAAGCATGGAATCTCTGCATAGATTTGCTCTCGGACCCGCGACAAGAATCCTTTGGCTTCTCCGACGCCTCCGCTTTGGTTGTTCATGACACTCGGTCTTGTCCCAGTGATAGATTTGTGTTCTCCGAACTTCTCTCCGGCGAAGGCGATGACTCTTCTCGTCTCTAACGGTTTGCTCAGAATGAAGCTTCGTCTGAAGGTCGCTACCGGAAAAGCTCGAATCCCAGAGCCACCGGACCCACCAGATCCTCTCTGCTTGCTAGTCACCGGCGATACTATAATGGTATTCTCTTGATTCTTACCTTCTGATTCTCTGAATGTGATTGCAGTTTCGATGAATGGTTATGATTAGTAAAGATGGATCCGAGTTTCATTGACTTAGTCCCGATTGTTTCGGTTGAATTGGGTTCTCTTATGGTCGCCCTTGTGCGATTCCTTGTTGCATTATGCAGAATATTTCTCTCTACTGCAGTATGCAGGTTTCTACTATTGTGTCATTCATTGGCAAGCTTATCGCCGATGTGCGATGCTTCAATTGGGCCATCCGGTGAGAATCTTATCGCTTTTATGCGACACCCTACTGCATGTTTCAATACGTCATCACCTTGACGGACCTTGATGTCTTCGTGATGGAGGCTCGTTTCCTCCTATACTCTTCTCTTGTGATTTGGAGAATTGGTTGAGGGAGCTCGTCGAATTTGTTTCTACTTGATGTAAAGACGATCACAATCAAAACTGCAATTTTAGCTGCTTCAACTATAGAGATCCAACACCTCAATGTGTTCACCGTTTCTCTTTCTCTTGTCAAGCTTCTCAACTTTAGAGGTATTGTCAATGAGCCAGAAATCATCCTACATGACATCTTTTGTCTATTAGGACCCTCTTCTTCTATCTTTATCATTCATGTAACTTGTACGGCATATGTGTTAGCCGAGTTTTTATTTATGTCTACTTTGTTAGATTTTGACATTAACTCCATGGATGGAAGAGTTTGAGTAATCTATAAAATCTTGGTTTGAT